CCTCCACACTCCCTGCCCTTCCCCATCTCCTTTATTTGTAGGTGTTTTCTGATATCAGAAGAAGAAATAACCATCTGAAGAGTCATAAATAGTTTAGGGCAATGTTATTTGTCATAAAAATACCATTAAGAGTATGTGAAATTTACACCCAATACATGGAACACAGAAGATGGAAGAGTCTAAAGGAAAAGTGTCCCCAGAAGACACAGCTGCTCGGAGGGTGTCTCTCTCTCCAGGCCTTACACACGCTTCTGAGAATATTACTTTTCTGAAGAAGGAGTCAATATATTTTAGCAATACTTTCTCTTCTGACTACAAAACAAAGAAATGTGTCTCTGGAGTTACATTTTGCTTGACTTTCTGTGCCACGCTGCTTTACATTTGGAGTGGTTCTATTTGAAAAAGGGCTGTTGTGAGCTTGTTTACTTCCATTTATTTTTCTTGAGGTGGCACACAGAGAAGCAGAATGGCATTTCTGACCCTTTGAGGGGCTGTTTACGCTTTGTTTCCCATCTGAGATAAAAACTGCAACTATTCCCTGCAATTGAACCCCAACAAGATCCAACAAAAGCTCTGCCTCCTGTTCCCTGGCAAATGCATCAAGTACTGAAAAGAATTTTGGCAGTATCGCCCATTCCCTGAAGTCCATCCAAGAAGTGCCCATGTCTATGGACAAGAAGTTGGTCGTCCCTGGTATATAAAGACTTGTTCTCTACTGCCTTCTTTTTTCTTTTCCTTTCTCTCTGCTTTTCTTTTTGTTCAGATCAAGTCAATACTTTCGTAGTCAGTATGGTGGAAAACTCAGCACTGAGAGAAGAGATGTGCTCTGGGCTCTGAGTCTGACGTGTGGCTGAGGTCAGTTCTGATATGCAGCGTCTGGGGATCATGGTTACAGAGACGACTCTAAGGGCAAGGTAGCAAACAGTCAGTCATCTGGGCCTGGACCACCTGAGGGGGAGCCTTTGACCTTGTAGTTCCACAGGCTAAAAATGCTTTTCTGTGATCTTTACTTGGCCCTGTCCTTCTCATCAACTGGCCTCAGTTCAACCACTCCCTTCCAAGACAGTCTTCTCTCCATCTCAAGTAGCTCCTTCCCAACAAGGCTCCACCTGCTACCCCGCCCAGTCTGTAAAGTACTTACTACCTCCTGCAAGTACCTTCTATTACTGTATTTTTCTTAGTAATGTCTACATCATCAACTAGAATATGAACTGCCAGAGAGGAGTTATTTTCACCTGCAACAGTCTCTGCTGGATTCCCAACATTGACAACAGCAGGTGAAATCCAGGAGATAATCACAAAGCGTTTTGGATGTATGAATAGAAGTAAATGGAGAGTCAGGAATATTCTGTGATTTTTAAACCTGTATTTCTACACAAGTGTGTAGCTTCCTAGGGACACTGGAAGAGTTCTATGCTGAAAGTAACAACACTTCTGATGGGAACGTTTCTAAAATGTGCAGTTGTTGCTCTATTTCTGTTCTATCATTTTTCACAGGTTTCAAAATGTGTCATAAAATATTATTGGGTCAGGGACCGGGCAGGCCACCAGATGGTTGAGAATGATTTATTTCCTTAATTTTAGATTACCAAAGAAAGATTGCAGGATGAAAGCCAGTTCTTATCTCTGAGTTTACAGAATATGAAAGATAAAAGTTACCTTGAAATTCATCTGTTCCAGGTTCATTTTTAATTTAAAAACCCACTCTAAACCACCAATGACATGGCTATCTGACCTTGAGTTTAACACTTTTAGTGATGAGACGCTCACTATTTTACAAGATAACCCGTCTCACAACTGCACAGATTTTGATGAGCAAGGTCTTCCATCTATTGATTCAAAACTTCCTTCCTGGAACTTCTGGCCCTTGGAACAACAATGCCTAAGTCTAGTTCCTATTCTGAATTAGGAACTTTGAAATACTTGAAGACATCTAAAGTATCACTCTTCAGTGTTTTTAACTTTAGAGTAAATATTCTAAATTCTTCAGTTGTTATTCACTTGTTTCTTCTTTCAGACCCTCATCTTCCTACTAGATTATCGCTGGACACACTGCAATTGGGAAGCATGTTCTCTAGGGCAAAGTGGAATTGTCTTATTTTTAATTATGGATTTAACTGCACTTATACCATAAATGATATACTTCTATAACTCAACTATGAATATACTCATGTATTATATAATTACCAATATCAGCATCTATTATCAATGGTAAAATGCAAAAACAGATTATTCTGATAATGAACTTCCTAATTGGCCAGACATCTGTATCTAAAGAACATCTTATAACCTCCAATACTAGCTAGCTAGTGAAGGTCTTTTGAACAAAATATAAAAATACTCAATGTAATCTAGGCTACTACTTTGCACATGCACAATAGTGTGTCTCCTTTCAATAATTATAGACATCTTTAAAGTATCCCGTTGTAAAGTACCATTAGTGAAAATAATCCAAGCTACAGTACTAAAAATTAATTGTGCTTTTTTCCAAGAAAATGATTTTAAATGTTAAAACAAACACTTTCCAGCTGAATAAAGTGAAGAGAATTTGTCCACATTCAGACTGCAGGAAACTGATGTTTTCCCAAACTTATGCTTTGTCGTCTTCAGGAACCCAGTCAGAGTTACAATCACGTCATCAGTACAGATGCTAAAGCAGAAATTATATCACGCTGTGCAGCAAAGCAATTTTCAAAGTTGACTTGCTGCTTTTGAAATCCAGCGAACAGTGCGTTCACATTAGGGAAATTGATGGCTTCAATTTACGTGCCTGCACATATCTATACTGTAATCACCTATTCTATTAATGCCTAAAGGTAAGCTATAATGTATTTGAATATCCACAATTACATTTCCATTGTAGACCATCTTATAAATACTGAATGCTGTTTTCTATTTTATGGCATGAACATGATTTTGCTGCTTCTGTTAATTGACCATCCTAATACAGACTCCAGCTAATACAGTACTGGCTTTCACCTATAGCAATAATAATCACAGAGGCATCTAGAAACACTGACTTAGGAACGCTTTATTCTATTATCTCTGCCTTGTATATTCCTTCTCACTGAAGCCAGAAGTTACAATATATTCAAATGATAATATCCAAACACAATGCTTCTGTACGGAATGAAAATCAGTATTTTGATTCTATTTTAAAGTAGAGGAGCTATTCATTGATTTCTAATTCTTACATGAATTAGATTGTGTCTTCCCAAAATTCATGTTTAAATGCTAACCTCCATAGCTCGGAGTGTCATCTAACTTGGAAATAAGGTTATTGCAAATGTAACGAAATTAGGATGAAGTCATACTTGAGGAAGATGAGCTCCAGTGTGAGGTGGTACTCTTATGCAAAGGGGAAATCTGGAGACAGACACCTAGAGGAGAATCTCATATGAGGAGGAAGGCACTGCGCGAGCTGCCTGCAAACCGCAGAAGCTAGGCAGAAGTCTGCAGCACTTTCTTCCTCACAGTTCCCAGAGGGAACACTGTGGGTGCACTGATTCTGAATCTCTAACCTCCAGAACAGTAAGACAATAAATCTCTACTGTTGAAGCTACTCGCTCATAGCACTTTGTAAGAGTGGTCTGGGTAAACCAGCACAATTGTGAAACTCTTAAAAATTTCTGACATTCTTCTTTGGGGCATGCATTCAGAACCCAGAATATATCTTCAATATTCTTCAACGTGGCATATTCCTATCATCTCCAGTACATTTTTCTGACAACCAAAAGGTACTCATATCTAAGACATGAGCACTACAGATCATGCGGATAGGTAATATAACATTCTTTTACTTAGTTAAATATAGCATTCAAATTAATTAGTACGTATAAATTATATATTTCTTTAACTGGCTGGCAGATGACCTAAACATGTTTTGCATGATAGTATTTCTTGGGAAAATAGTATAATCTCCTAAAGTAATTATACTGAAATATGTAAGAATGTGTGTTTTGTAAATTCTGATGTGTTTCATTTTAAAGTTGCATCACGGTAGCATATGATAGCATACACAGTTACTTTATGTTAAATCAGGGGTTTTCAACAGTGATTTGTCCTCCCCAGATACATGAACAGAGATATAGCTGCGGACTGCTTTAAGGTGCTCAGCTTAAGCAGTTTCTCTTCCACCTGATTAATATTTTGATCTCTCATCCTAGACCAAGACTACCCAATGAAACTTTCCATAGTGACGAAAATGCCCCATATTTGCACTGTCCAGTGTAAGAGCCACTAGTCACACGTGACTACTGAGCACTAGAAATGTAGCAAGTACAACTGATGAAGTGAAATTTTAATTTAATCGAATTTGGATATAAGTAACCCACAGACTGGCTATTATACTAAACAGTACAATTCTGTATTTTAATTTGGAAATAGGATTCCACTGCTAACAATGTGAAACTCTCCACTGAAAATGAAAGACTAGGAACACTTTTGCTAATAAAGAGTAACTGATGATTCAGGTAAGTTTTTCCACAACACACACAAATATGTTCAATGTCTTGGTGCATCTTAGCGAGTACCAATCTTCAGAAGCAAACTAAAACCGACATTGCTAGTCATCAGCCAGCAGGGGGAACTGCAGAGTAGCACGTAGTATTTTCTCCTGAGAATGAGTTTTTCTTCTGTATATGTGGAGGCCTCAGCACAGGTACTCTGGCCAGGAATTCCATACCCTGTGCTCCCTAAATATCTAGAATCAGCTACATAAGATGGATGTGCTTATTTTCAACCAGTCCTTAAGTAGTGGTAACAGAACTTGGTCAAACACAATAAAGTTCATAACCAAATTAATCCTAAAACCTCATTTTCTCCAAAGATTTTTACATTGGGTTTTAAGTTTATCCTATTTCCCCTCTACCAGAAAAAAAAAAAATTAAGGTCTTTTGGATTTACATAGAAAAGAAAATTTTCATTGGCATATTGTTGAGTCTTCAAAGTTATTTTAAGAAAAGTCTTATCCCTGGTAAGTTAACAACACATGGCCTTACCTCTTGATAAAGGTCACTGAGATCTTCCTGGTGGGCCTGTTTGGAACATCCTGGGAATTCCCTAACACAGCAGGAATCTGGAGGCCAGTCCATCTCTGTCATTTCCAGCCAGTCAGTAAAATACACCACTCCACAACACTTAAACTGAAAAAGAATTACTGGTCGGGCTCAGAAATTACAACAATATTTTTTTAACTTATGAGAGATTAAACATTAGAGTTTTAAAATTTTTGTTCTAAGAGCTAAACTCACTTCTTTTATCACCCAATGATATGTGCACATTCTGTGCTGATACTGGCAATGTCGGAGAGGCACATCGTGGCTAACCATTCCGTAACGGAACAATTCTGAACAACTGTGTCTACAGCACATAAAAACAAACCCTGTATCACTGAGTCTCACTCCCATCTAAGAGCCTCCCCAGTTAATCACAGAGTGACAGATTTAACATATACCCTCACAAACCCAATAGCTGAACTTTTAACTTACTATTAACTTCTGGACACTGGAGAATGGTAAATCAATCAGTTTGTGTATTACTGGGGTTAACTGCTCAAAAAATTCAAATACCGTATTAAAAGTTCCCATAATCTGTGTAGAAAGATTTGTTGATCAAAGCCCACATCACAAAAATTCCTTTACTAGTAAAACTGCCAAAACTTTGAGAAAGAAACATAGGTTTAGCTAGTGAGTTTTCACTCAACAGAGTGAATAAAATAAATGACCATATTCTACCAGCATAATCTCAGAAAAAAATGATGTGCCTTTAGCTTGAATGAAGTTAGATTTAACAAAAGATGTATTTTTGTTCTTAAATTATATTTAAGATAACTATATGTTCTTTTTTGTCTCATTTCACCAAAGAGAAGCAAAAACTTTCTCTGATGTAGGTTTAGAAACACTGCTTAAAGAAATGTACAGATTAGATTCAGAACAATTAACAACAGTGAAAAAATTTTCTGCCCTTGCAAAAAGCAGAAGTACTCTTCCATATAGTCAAAGGCGAGGAATATGGGCAGTAGCTGGGAAGTCCTCTGCCAAGAGTGACTCGCTATGCAAATTATGTAGCCCAAGAGATTAATCTGTGTGTGAGATTAACATTGCATAATAAAAGATCACAATCCACCACCATTTCACATTTTAACTATAATCAATGTTAAAAAATACTGAACATCTCAAGCAAAAATACTAAAATTTATTTTGAATATTTTAATGCTTTTTGATTGAAAAGAAAAAAATCATCTTAAGAGTATTATAAATAACGAATACTAAAATCTGAGTAATACTGTAATTTTGAGATGAATCTAAAATATTTTCAGTATTTTCCTCTTATAAACTTGTTCTAACAGCCATGGAAATACCGTAAACAACACAAAGTAAGTCAAATTCTAAAAGCCGAGTCACTCTTGGCAGAGGACTTTCCAGCTACTGCCCACATTCCTTGCCTTTGACTATATGGAGGACTACTTCTCCTTTTTACAAGGGCAGAAAATTTTTCATGATAGTTAATTGTTCTGAATCTAATGTGTACATGTCTTTAAGCAGTGTTTCTAAACCTGTGTCAGAAAAGGTTTTTGCTTCTCTTTGGTGAAATGAGACAAAAAAGATCATACAGTTATCTTAAATATAACAAAAAATACAAAAACATGAACATCATAGTGTAAGTCAAACATAATTTGGTACCACATATTTTACATAATTCAGTGAGTATCCTTTAAAAAATACAGGTAGTACAAAAATTTCACTTTCTAAAGACCCTAAGCTACTGCATTTCCAAATCTGTCTTTAAATCTTCACACTCAGACAAGGCCCATTTCTCTCATCTCGTGATGACATGAGCGCTTTTCATGTTGATGACAAAAAGGAAGTTCCTGGAACGTTTGAACTCCACCTACAATGGAACAGCCCATTTCTCTACCTCTGTCAGGAAATGAGGAACTCCACAGAAATGACTTTTCCAAATAACTTAAATATATTATGTTCAGTGACAGAATTTTTTATTTTAATAAGCCAGTGAAATATTTTTCTTTCATGTAGTTGTTTTTCTTGTTCAATAAAAGTCAATTTACATTGAAACTTTTTCTGAAAACTCTAGATAAATTTCATGCTACAATAACAGTATGTAGGTTATGGTCAACATCTCCTTGTCATTTTTCTGTCTCCTTTAACACTGCATTGTAGAAAGCTCTACTCTTGCTAACACTGTTTCAAATTCTCACCATTTTATGGATCAATAAATTAAGGTCCTGAATGGGTCAAATAACTTCCCAAGGCCAGCATATAGAAAATCCTATTTACTCTAAAGCCTGTGAACCATCACTTGTTAAAATAAATAAGCACATTTTTAAAACTTAGGTTTTAAAAAGGTTTTCAATACATTGCATTAAGCTGAGACAGGAGGACTGCCACAAGTTCGAGGCCAACCTGGGCTACAAAATGAATTCAAGGCCAGCCTGAACTACGTAAGGACACTCTGGCTCTAAAAGACCCCAAAAAAAAAAAAAAAAAGGCACTAGGACTTAAGCAAGAGCCCACTAAATTGACACATATGCACAGAATAGCACAGAATGAGAAATGAGAGGAACTGGAACTTAAGAAGTTGACTTTCCGTCCTGTAATTCATTTTGGAAGACAGCTGTTATCAGCTGAATCCTGTTCCCCCAGTCAAATTCATAGCCTCTAGAACTCTGGAATGTGGCAGTGCCTGTATAGGGTCTTTACAGAGGTAATGAAGTAAAAATAAGACCATTAGAGTAGACCTTCATCCAACTCAACATATCTCCTGATAAGGAAAGGAAATCTGAACAGATACGGAAGATAACAAAAGGAATACACAGGGAGAAGATGGCCAGAGCATGAAGTCTCAGCAAAGTCAGCTTCACCAGCACCTTGATCAGAGACTTCTGGCCTCCAGAACCAAGAAAAAATAAATTTGTAATCAGCACCCAGTCTGCAGTACTTCATAGTGGCAGTCCTTGCAGACTAACAGTAGGGGCTTTAACACACAGGGTGCTCAGGGGTCTTCACCTTTAATGTAAAGCAGCCGTCGGACACGAAGAGGGAGCAGAGCTTGGAACAAGTCCGGAGGCGGCACGCTGTCACCTGCAGAGCCTGCACACCGTCCCTCTAGGTGGAGTCCCCATCAGAAACAAAACAACACAAACCCCACTTTGTCTTCAACAAAATGATTCATATCACAAATTCCAGGAAATGAGGAGCTCTGAACACGTAACTATAAACTCCCTAAGGCTTTGCTTATTTTCCCTTTGTGTTGTTTTTAGTATAACTGTACAGTAAACAAACACAGTCAGGAAGTGTATAAATAAATAGGAAATCTGTGTTATCACGATAATTTTAGCCATCTCAACAACTGTAACACAAATAGCCGGATTTGGAAACTGTCCTGGATTTGGACTCTGCCCGGGGTCATGACACAGGAACCACGCAGGCAGCTGGCTTTCAGGTAAGACACTCATTCTCAGGAGCAGGACAGCCCAGCACTGACACAAATGAAAGGAAACCGAGACACCTGATTCTCTGGGGGTGCCACAACCACAAGGAAGTGACTTGGGAGAAGAACTGGGTTTGAAGCAAGACTGATGATTAGCTTCAGGTCCACAGACGTTAAACATCTGAGGACAGTCCTCACTTGAGAGGGGTAAATGCAACATCACACACGGTTAGAAAAAACCCAAAGCTCCTACATTGCAATGCTATCATTAATAACCATAAGCTGATGATAAATGTATAAATGCAAATTTGATATTTAATCTTCTCAACACTGAGGAGGTAGGCACTTTTATTAAGTGAGAAGACTGAGGCTTACGGAGGCTCTGCAAATTGCAGCAGCAAAAGAGTAAGCAGGAGAGCAGGAATGTGAGCCAACGTCTTCCCGACTGCAGTTTACACCTGTAATGCTGTATGTGCTGACTCCACACATGCAAATGAGGATGCTCTTCCAAAAGGACGCAGTGCCTGTGCCTGTGCCCCCGACATGCGGATGTGGGGTGAGCAGAGTCCCAAGTCTGAGCCCAGCCCGGGCAATTAGCGAGAACAGAAAAATGAACAAAACCTAGAACATCTGTTTGAAAGTGTGCCACTTATTCTGTATTCCGTTCCCTACTAATCTTAGCACTTACCTCTCTCTGAAAAAAATTCCAAGCATGAGTAAGCCACCTGTATCTAGGCAAGCCATAATTTGTCATTCTGGCTTTCAAAGTCACCATATCTGACCACTGTACTGGAACCTGGTGAAAAGAAGCAAAACGTCAGCGCACAGACACACACACTGAAGGACACACTCACACTTTAAAATACTGACCCACACACTTGGACTAAGTTACAACTGACAAATGCTACTTTACATTATCATCTGCTTGAAGCCCAAATTAAGCTCAGATCTTAAGCTTGAAATTCAAAAAATGATATAAAGATCAAGAACCCAGCCCTGCCCAAAAAAAAGAAAGAAAGAAAAGGGAGAAATGAGAAATAAGACTCTAATAAAACTCAAGATTAGGAAAATTTTGAACTCTTTTTATGAAAAAAGTATTATCAGTAGAAACAGTATAAAAATTCTTGACCACATAAATATTTCAATATATATCAGCAATATATGCTGATTTTTCTTTTTATTTGGACATATGCAACACAAAATAAAACACCCAAACACTGGGCATGCAGTTTTGGTACTCTGATAATGGGCTGACTGGGTATACTGTGTTTGCATATGGCTTCAATAAAATTCAGGGAACTAACCAAAGTCCCAGCTACCCATTATAAATTAGTATTACTGCAGATTCTTTGGGGCATAAAATAAATGGAAGTGAAATAAATCCCCATTATTGATAAATTTTGTCTAGAGAAGGAAAAATAAATAGGAGGTGAACATGTGCCAACAAAAAATAATGCGGAAGCAGCCGACTGATGTCAGTCTCTTCACTTAGTTAATATAACAATCTTTTTTAAGTTTTACTCTCCAAAATAAACATGGTTTGTTTTTTCACTGTGACCACAATCAATCTGAGACCAAAAGTGGCAAGAGAACAGAGGAGACCGCTGAGTTCTGGCACGAACCAGAGATCTGGCTGTAAAGTAACACACACTGACTGGTTCCCTGCATGGAACCGCTGAGAGCACAAAGCCAGTCTATGTAAAGCCTGGGTCCTGCAAACTTTGGCAGATAATAAACTTTAATAGCACTTTTCATTCACACTGTTATTAGTGCAGAAACCATAAAAAATGTGAGAAATTTAAAAAAACTGCTTTCCACATTTCATTTTTAAACAGTCCTTACTCTGTCCTGGTAATGCAACGGGGAAGATTTACACAAGCAAAACATGGCGTGTGCCCTCGGCTGAGTCGGCAGCGTGCACTCTGCTCGTGCTGCACACTCAGAAGCTTCGTGCACACTGTCCTGCAGTTAAACCCACACCAGCGCTCTTCAGTGTCCTCGGCTTTCTCACAAGTACGTCAGAGTCATGACATTCCCTGTCAAACACCTCACATCCGTTCCTCCAAGCCTTGCTACAATGAGATATCATCTGTACGGCAAATGTGTCACACACTGAAAAAGTCCTCAGAAAGTGAACTCAGTTCTAAAAATTTTTTACTTACCAAATAGAACACAGTCAACAGCTGAGGTAAGGGGGTCAAGAATTAGCTGCACGATTTACTCTCTGTTGCTTCATTGTCAGGGATATAAATTTATTATTAAAAAATAAAAAACCCAACAGAGACAATCTCTTTATCACTAACACTCAAAAACAGAGTTCCTGAGTTTGTTGTTTTTTTTTTTTTTTTTTTTTTTTGCTTTCCTAAACACACAACTTTCTAGGAATGGTGTGAAAATATCATTTCACAAAGACAGCGAGAGAACCATATTACAATGGGAGATTTTATTTTGGAGAGAGTTCTTAACTTTGTATTGGTGCACTTAGGGCCTGCCCTGACTTTTGAACTCTGCGTCGATCCTCTCTTGTTGAGCACTGCATACACGGAAGCCCCGGAGCTTCACAGGGATCCCACAGCCAATGGGCCCGTGCAGTGCTGCCGTGTAGCTGCCACGTGCACAGCATGCTCTAGTCTGAAGTTGCTACTTCACATTCAGAACAGCCTCACAAAACAGTAGCAGATTCACCATAAAATCTTTAACAACCGTATCAGTGCCAGAAATGACTTCAGTTTTATTACACAACTGCCCCATGTACCTCTTCTCTCCAAAACAAATACGAAATTACCCGCTCTTTTTAAAGATTCTTCAGTTTTAAAATGTTTAAAACTCATTGTCTCCAATGCTGATGGCCAGGCCCTGCCCTCCCCCGCAATTCTGATTTAGCACATCCAGGCTGGAGCCCCAGAATGCACATTATTAATAATCACCCCTCGTAACTCCTGCTGCAGATGGTTCGAGCACCACATGTTGAAACACCATTTAGTGAGACAATTATTCTACAATGCTTACACTGGGAAAATCTGGCCTGCCTCCACAGAACAGCTAGCATTCACAGACATGCAAAGGCCCTCCACCTCACTGGCAACAAATACATTAACTTTCACCACAGAAGTGAGCAAATAAAATAAGTAACACTCAATGCGAGCAAGGATGAAATGCAAGTGGTACAATTTTAAGATTAAGAAATTCCTATCTATATGTACACTCACAGAACTGTAAAAGTTGTTCCAGGGGTTGCAACAGCTGAAATAAAGGGGAAAAACATGCTGAAGAGCTGTTTTCAAGTAGCCAGATCTCACACTGTGAGGACGTGTCCGGACTGCAGTAAACATACCGCAGCTCCTAAACACACACTTCTGAAAGCGGAACGTGGACCAGCGTCTGCAAACACGAGACACAGGCTTCCTGGCCACTGGTTTCTGCTGCAGTCAGCATTTTCTTAGGCTTTATGGAGATGTTCAAGCATTTGCAAAAAACTCACGTTGCACCCGCAAATCTTTCCTATTATTAACTCAGAAGGTGGTAAAGCTATTTTAGATGATGTACTACTTTTAGTCTACCATATTCACGTTTAAGCAGTCTGTGGAATTAAAGACACAGATCATCATATACCAAATTATAGTTTAGAAAAGTGCTTTAAACGCAGAAAAGAAAATGTTACTTTTCAAAGTATTTAGACTGTTCATTGTTATCATGTAGCCTGAACATTTAAATCAACAATCATGTGTCTAAACTGTTCTAAAGCATATGATTTAAACAGATGAACTGGATATTGTTTTAGACTGTGATTAGATTCTACTCTGAACTCACCATAAGTTCTTGTTCATATGTCCACACTCCACAAGCCAGCTCTACACAGAAAATGACAAGTAAACTTCCAAAGTACTGCAGAAAAACGAAAGTATGCCATTAGTACAGAAGCAAAACAAAGTACGGTCATCAGTGGTTACTCAGGGCTGTATTTATCTAATGGACGAGAAAACAAGAGTCAAGTTCTCAGGGAACACAGGAGGACAATTTAGCAAACTTAAAAACACCTGCAAATGACATTTAGTAGTTATCTAAGTGGGCTGCACTTTATCAGTCACTCCTGGGACAAATCTTTTCTAAATGCCAGTTCTTTCATTAGACTGAATAAGTATTCACATATTATAGTCTGATAAACTATAACTAGGTTCTCTGAGAAATTAGACCTAGTTTCTTTCAGAGTGGACGAGGCAAAATCAATAAGCCCAGTGTTCTGCTTATGAGCACATTTTCACCCATTCTTCCAGGCAAGGGGGCCTTCTCTGCATTGTTAGAAACACACAATTTAAAACAAAATCCCAGCTACCAATGACAACATAAACTATGTACTGTAGTAGATTTCTATTATGGTGTAGTCTCGTGGTTTTATGAAAGAATATCAGAAATTCTGGGAAAGCATAGTGAGGCAAGTAAATAACAAAGTGGAACACAATTTCAAAGCAGAAATGACGATAAAAATTCGGACTCCTGTGAAATTGAGAGTCACACAGAGACCTAAAGAGTGATAAGGATGGGAATAAACAGAAAAGGGCACTTTAGGCAAATGAGAAACACAAAGAAGTGAGTGGAAGGAGCTGGAAAGTACAGCCAAGGGACACGGAACCGGAGATGCATCCATCTAGCAGGAGGAGAAATGACAGAGATCAAATCTGAAAAACAGATTGAAGTCAAATTATGACAAACTTTAAATAATACATGAATGGATTTTAAATCTATGTCAATAACAAGGTGATATCTCTCAAAGTTCTGAGTAAGACAAAGATATGATAAACAGATAAATAATGACAGGATTCTATCCAGTTTGGAAGAAAAAGCCTGAGGGGAGAGTTGGAGATACCTCAGAAGTCAGCCTAAAGGAGACAGGAGGCGAAGACCTCAATTTAGACGGTGGCTTGAAAAGAGGTGGCAAAGAACAGCTACCAGGGATGTAACAGATGAAAACTGACATGACATTGGAGTGGCTGGATCTGCAATCTGAGGGGAAAGGACATACATCCCCAAAGCACAGAAATGGGGAGGGGCGACTAGGATTGTTGGAAGATGAAAATGGTCATTTTGTGAGCAACACAGAAATGTATATCCAACTACTGGAAATGTCAATTTGGAGCTCAGGCACCCAGGGTGAAGATGGACATTATTTTCACTATTAGAAACAAAATTAGCAGATTTTGGATAAGGCTGTCTTTTTTTTTTTTTTTTTTTTTTTGGTACCGGGGATCGAACTCACGACCTCGAGCTTGCCAGGCAGGCGCTTATGTCACTAAGCTATAACCCTAGCCCCTGAATAAGCCTGTCTTTATCAAGCACTTTTATAATGAACTCAAGAAACTTGTGAGAAAGGTGAGACTAGTGCACTTTACAAATGAGAAAACCAAAGCGGACAGCAGATAACACGGCACGCTCAAGGACAGCACCTAGAGGGCGGACAGCCGAGTGACCTTCCTCACCACCTCCCCACTGTGCAGGGACTTGACTGAGGCATGGGAGGAGTGTGGCAGAGACTGGGCCTTCTGAAAGCCCTCCTCACCAAGTCTGGAAGAACGGAAACAGCACTGAATCGTGAACCATGACTCTTCCCCTTCACTTACAATGCAGGGCTGGGAGAAGGTAAGGGCAGCAGCGCTCACTGGCTGCCTCCTTCACTGGGAGGAAGGCGCCATACAGGAATGCACATTACTATGTTTCTCTCACAGAACAGGTGTTCCATAAATATTTGTCACATAAAAGATGAAGGAAAACAAAGAGTACTTTGGTAGTAAGTGTTGGGGGCTCCCTCGGGCTGGGTGACTCAGAAAGGCCTCACAAAGGTGATCTGTAAGATGAACTGGTGATAAAGAGAAAGGCGAAACAGGAGTTGAGAAAAAGCATAGCAGGAGAGGACACATCAAGGCGCCTTGTTCCAGGGAAGCTGGCTAATGCAGCAGTAACTTGAGCACAGAATGGGATGGGGTGGGTAAAACAAGTACATGTAATGCTGAGAGGCACGAAGAACCACAGTACTGCGGGGCACAGAAAGGGTTCTCCCTTTTCTTGCTAAGTAATGGAAAGCCACTAGCAGGTCACATGATCTGAAGTACGTCACATACTCAATTCTGGTACTTTTTTTTTAAAAAAACCACCTAAGAAAAGTAAGGGTACATCAGTGGTGGTGCATGCCTGGAACCCCAGCTGCTTTAAAGGCTAAGACAAGAGGATTCCAAGTTTGAGGCCAGCTTGGGGCAACTTAGAGATGCTGTCTCAAAATCAAAAGAGCTGGGGGCGTGGCTGAGTGGTAGAGCACTTGCCCAGCATGCACAGGCCAAGTTCAATGGCCCCGGCATGACATGGGTGACTTACACAAAGCATAGCTGAACGAGAATGGTGGCAAGAGAGGGGAAAAGGGGGTTCATAAAGGATTTTTGAACCATTAAGGGTTACATTATAAGTTTCTCTGCTTGTAAGTTTTGCCAAAAATAAACAGTAATAAATAGAAAATTAGAGTTTATTATTTCCATGATATCATCCTTATGATTTAAAAATACAAATCAATGTTATTAGTTTTTATTTGCTTCCCTTATACGTCTTTCACTTTAAAAATGAAGAATGTGGGCCCAGGGATACAGCTCAGTGGCACAGTGCCTGCCTGGCAAGTGCAAGGTCCTGAGTTCATATTCCTGGTACCAAAAAAAAAAAAGAATGTGTAATGCTGTAATTTCTTAGACAGCAAGATGGCTTGAAAATAAGAATTAGCTCAAAAGACAAAGTAGTGTTACATTACGGGGACCCTATTTTACAAGTTATTTTCATTTTCACCACGTGGAGTACTCATGGTCAGCTTCAATCTACTCAGATCTCAATTCCAAGTGTTGGTATTTCTAGGACTTAAAGATTTCAGCCTCGATATAGTTCAATATTTTGAAAACATCAGTTTTTTTTAATTTTTTATTTTAAAGAGTAAAAGAAGAATAACATAATAATGAGAGGGTACCAAATTACAGACAAAGTGTAGGAAATTATCAACGGTTACTGTTTTACATATTGTTATCTACAAGATAGTTTCTCAGGAAAACAAGCAGACAAATAATAGTGAGTTACAGACAAAAGGAGTAGGAGATTATCAATAGTTGTTGTACTATACTTTGGTATCTTCAAAGTGGCTTCTAAAGAAAATAAATAGAGATATACATGAGTGACCTATTGAATAATCATTAACTATTCTCAATGGTTGTTGTAGGAAACACATAATAATACAGATGCATCCATTTACAAAACAGGATAAGAACAATACAAACATTACAAAGTTATGGACAGATTAGCAGGAAAATATCAATGGCGGCTATAATACATGGTGGTATTTTCAAAGTGTTTCTCAGGAAGACACACATACGCAAGAAGGATCTAACAAGTAGTTACAGCCTAAGGGTTGTGAAAAATAGCATATTACCTCCTCACCAGTGACTCCTTTCAGTGAGGTATGATGGCTGGAAGGAAGGCCAGGATTGAAAAGAAGGACCGAGAGACTTGCACCTGTGTCTAGCAACAGGCTGTTTTCTTGTTCCTCCATAGTCATGATTACCCAGGCCTCCTCCATGGAGATGACAGTCTGGCCAGAGGGAAAAGGCAGAGCATGCTCTGGGCCCCCTCATTCCTGTCGGACTAACTGGTAGGATGGGTCTGAGCTCTGGGGCCTCCACTTCAGAGGGCAGACTGATCTCCAGTGGTCACCTTTGCAGTCAGGGAACGCATGGCCCAGGGGGCCTCTTAGGGCAGTTCCTCTTGAGGTGGCCTGGCTTTTAACAGAGGTAGCAGATGAACGCAGTCGTCGAGTTCTTTTTGGGGCCCTGGGAATCAGACTTTAGGTCTGTTTCTCTTAGTGCTGCAGCAAAAGCAGCTGCTTTTCCTCCGTCTCTTTTTTTTCTCTCCTTGTCCTCCTCCTCATCATGGCTATAGAATACTGAGGAGGCAATTCTTACTAATACCTCAAGTGAGCCATCTGGGGCGAAAGCCATTTTTTATAGCTTTTTCTCTCCAACCTCCCATCACATTGGGACCCCACAACCAGTTAGTGTCCTCTCCCCAACCATCAGCACAGGCAGCAGGAATCTTGCTGCAGACCTCTCTGGCGCTCCATGTGCTCCTCTACCACAGCCTGTACTGTCAGGGGAGGAATGGCTTTCAGGGGATTTCCCTAGATATTGCGCAAGGTCCTTCTGGTTTACAGCTTCTGAATGGTTCTCGTGACCCTGGTCCACTTGACCTTCGACTCTTTGGGCTTAGGCTGTATTCTCATGTTTCTCTGAGTCCTTGTTCAGCAGCTGCTCCTCCGCTGAATCTGGACCTTTCTGGTTCTCAACGGCAGGGGCTAGACTGACTCGTGTGGCATGTATTCCCAGGGGTTTCTACGTGTCGGAATGATTCACACATGTACACAGGCGAGCCTCCGCAGCCGGTATGTGGTGAGCCAATTGTGTCATTGCTTCTCTGTGATAGTGATAGTTCTCAATTGCGCAGTGGTGGTTGGTCTGAGGGCCGGCGTGCGCCAGCGCACGGCTTCCCGGGTGCCGGGGGCCTTCCTCCCGGGCGCCTTCGAGGCCAGGGACCAGCTCATAGAATATTTTCAATTGGCAGAGGTAACCTAACCAACTACCATTATGTTTGTACTAAGAGATACCTTTCAACAAAATTACTGAAACGCAAAAAAAAAAAAAAAATTTCAGCCTTGAAATGAAGAAGAAATTTGGTGAGCACACTATGAGCACCACAAAGTCAGTTTTTCTCTATGCTTTACCTAAGAGAGTTTTAGACACAAAAAATATATTTGCCTTATGTTCCACAGAGACCAAATGTGTAGTAATTACATGTGCCATCAATGTTCTCAC